GAAAGGAAGCACTTGACCATGGCAGGAGTCACCCACCCTCATGGAAATCATGCATCCTCCAAACTAGACTCAAAAGAACCGATACGTAAACAGGGTAGATAGAGCAAGTAGCAGCCAGGGGGTGGAGTAGCAGGTAGGGAGAGCCCCTTTTGGTCTGGCCAGTGAGGAAGGGAACCCCCAAATCCTCAAAGATTCAAGCTTGAATTCAAGTCAATTCAACTCAATTCCCCTCCCCAGCCCCCAACAGCCCAAAAGGCACCAGCTCAGAAAAGGTTAAAGGAGTTCCCTCTGTCCATATTCTCCCTGGCTATCATGCCAGCCTGAATCTGGCTAATGGGAATAGCTGGCACTCTCTGCCAGCCCTCCCACAGTCAGCTCTGTCCTTTCCTGTTGAACTCCGCACACAGTCAAAAGGCCCACCCGCAGCATCTCCCTCTGCGATCCTGCCAAGGCCTTTTTTCCCACCATCCCGGCAACAATTACCCAAGCATCGGCCGGGCCCTGGATCCTCTTGACAGCAGCCGCCGGCCAGAAGCCTGGGCAGCCTGAGCCTTGTGGGCAGAGATGCCAGGCATCTGTTGTATCTCTGCTGCGAGGTTGGCTGGGGGCTGGGAGAGGATTCAAGGGGCTGGTGCCGGGGGGCTATTTGGAAAGGAGAGCACCATGACCACTGCAGAAGACACAGTTCCTTGAAGCTGGGCCTGCATGGGCCCATAGTCCTCTTCATTTATACCGCTATGACCCAAAAGACAAAGCTGAGTCTCGGAAGTCACCAGCTACCCGTGGTACAAGCTACTCACTCGTGGCAAGGCCTGGCTGATAAGGACTCCCAGATAAAATCCCCATGTGTCTTAGCCACAGTACTATGCCACCTCCTCCCCGGGCAAGCGTCCACAGAGGAGGGCTGGCAACAGTCTCTGGACTGGACTCAGGGAGAGGCAACAGAACTATTGTGGAAGGGCTGTGTCAGCCCCTAGCACCGTCCCCTTCTAGGGCTCCATGCCAGTCTTTTGCCTGGAACACAGAGAGTGGGGAGCCTGGTGGGATGAGGAAGAAGGAAGGGGCTTTAGAGAAGGCAGCCTGAGCCTGAGTTCTTAAGTGAGAAAGCCTCCTCCGTGCCTGATGATTTACCCCCCAAAAGAGGCAAAGCTGATGTCACTGGGCTGGACCCCAAGGTCCCTCACTCCTATCCAGGTGAGCTGCAGCATTGTCTAGCCCTTAACACAATCCTGCAGGAACCTGTGACTTCATGGGGAAGGGCACTGCCTTCCGCCAGAGCTGCTCACTCCCCCTCCCCACATACTCATCCAATGGAGTAGCCGGTCGTGAAGAGGCACTGGAGGAGGTGGGAGTGAACTCTCAGCCCGTCACTACAAGAAGAACCAAGTTGAATGGAAGCTCTCTTGGGGCAGGGATGGCCTCACTTCTGTCTTCTAAGCTCTGGCGCCGGGCTTGGGAAATGTCAACTGCATTGAATCCGATGTAGTTTCTTTGCAGATATTTCCCTGTGTTGCCTTGGGCTCGGGCAGGCCAAACTTATAAGACTTGGAGTTGAAGAAAGTCAATTTTTTGGTGCCTCAGGCCCCCCACAAAACACTGCTTAGTTAAGGTGGAGAGCTAAAAGGCTGTGCCCATCATCTGCCTGAAAGCTCCCATTTTCACTCAGCCCACAAGGCCCCCCATCTCAGATGCCCACGCCCTGAGTCTAATAGCAGTAGTAACAGCTAGCATCGCTATGGCACGTCCAGGTCTGCAGGGAATTCTATGTGTGTTCACTTGATCTGGACTGAGAAAATTGAAGTCGCCCAAGGGTCATGAGCTTGCTCCCTTTGTCCCGAGACCGTCCCTCTCCTCTCCTTTGTCTCTGCTCTTGGCAGAGCTAACCCGTCGCCTTGGGCACTCCACCCTATCCCTTCGGGGAGCCTGTCCCGCCCACTCCTCCTTCCTCATCTGCAATCTCTTCTCTACTGGGTCCTGCCGCTCATGCCTACCAACCGAGCTGCTCAGGGCTCACCATCCTCCCCTTCACTGTTCAGCTAGCTCCTCAGAAGTGAAGTGTCCACCTGCTGCCCCTTTCTTTCCTCCCTAGCCAGAAGACTGGCCTCTGAGGCCCCCATTCCCACGGCACTGCTCCCTCCAGTTGGCATTGCCAATGGCGTCTTCATGGCTAAGCCCTATGGTCTTAGCTCAGTCCTCCTCCTCCCGCTGCTGGATCCTCTCCCCACTGGGCTCTCTCCCAACTCTCTGGTCTGTCTGGATGTCCCTTCACTGGTTCATCTTCCACTTCACACTCCCCAAAAGGTCTCACCACTCTACCCGCCCCACTCTCATCTGCTCTACAGTTACATCCCAGATCTACAGCCTTCAGTGGCTCCCTATTGCCTAGAGGGTAAAATGCAAAGTCCTTGGCCTGGGACTCATTCAAAACTCTCTACAATCTGCCAGCCTTGCAAACTTGGTTTCTCCTACTCCCTTTTACGTTTTTCCCATCATTCCTAAAGCCCCAGGCTGGATCACGGTCAGACTGAGGAGGACTTGTGAGGTGGGGGAGGGTCTCTCTGCCCACTCCCCACCTCTAGCGCTCACCCTACAAAGGTCCTCTGCCCAAACAGGGAAAAGCCAGAGTAGCACCATGGCAGGCCAGCACCCAGCACCCCAAGAAAGCCAGGGCTGACAATGCAGCAAGGACTCCACTCAGGCCAAAAGAATTAGGGTTAGTGTGCAACAGCACCCAGGCGCTGAGGCACCAGGGCACGTGAGGCAGGGGCTGCTTCCCTTATACCGTACAAGGAGAGCAGGCAGCCACCAGCCAAGAGTAGGCCCAGGTCTCATCTGCTGCTAGGCTGGGGGCGGGGGAGAAAGAGGAGCGGCGCCAGGAGAGGGAAGCCAGTTGAATTTCACTAAGCTGTGGTTTCAAGGCTGTACATATGCTAGCGGTCATCAGGTCTGAGAATCTGGAAGAAATTATGGGGCCTCTGAGATTTTGCTGAGTAGGAAGTAAAGCAAAGACAGGATGTAAAACACACACACACACACGCACACGCGCGCGCGCGCGCACACACATGCACACGTACACACGCGCGTGCACACACACACACACACACACACACACACACACACACACACCATAACCCCTTCAGACCTGGGTAGACTCTCCCAGCCAAAAGCTAGCCTTGTCAACTCCACCCTCTTTTACAAGAGAAACTCAAAACTTCTGGACAATTACAGAGACCAGAGGTCCAGCCAAGGAAAGCCATCCTAAGCCAGTTCATGCAGCTGGTAGTCACTGACTAGCATCATTCAGCCAGTACGAGTGGAAGACGGCCTGGGAACAGTGCCAGGAGACTTCAGGTTGAAGCTTCACTGTAGGACCTTGGAAAGGTCCCCTCCCTCCCCTCTCTCGGCCTCCATCTTGTCCTCATTTTGTGAAGCTCTCAAAAGTCCCTCCTGGCTCGGACAGTGGAAGTCTGTTGCCTTGACATCTTGAGGCCCCCTCACGTAAGTGATTACTCTGAGAACTAGGCCACCTCCTGGGAAGGCTATCAGAAACTGTAAGCATGCTACAACCCTGGACAGGCTGAAGCCGGGAACAAAGAAATGATTGCACGAGAATTTTTTCCCGAAGCCAAACCTGTGGGCCCACAGATGCTCACCTTACTCTAGCCTATGGTTCTTTGGCCATGAGCACAGTCCTCTTTGGGACTCTCCCCATGTTTGAGACTGAACCCCCTTCCCTTTCCTTTTGGGGTAGGAAAAGGGGAGGGGAAAAAGGGACTGATGAAGAGAACGGCCCCAGAAGCCAAATCGGAGTAAAGACACAAAAGACCCAAGTGTCCCTGCAGGCCCATCAGTGTGCTGAGGGAGCCCTGTTTTATCTTCCACAGTCTACCCTGTGGCAGGGGGATTCAGGTTCCAGGCATCATACACAAAGATGCCTCAGTCATGTCCAAACCCTGGCCAGGACCCTGGGTCAGACAGGAATTCCAAACACATACAACCTGGAGACACTTCAGCTACCCACATTTCTCTCTACAAAGCAACACTGGCCATCTTTCCCTCCTACCAACTTCCCCTCTCAAGTCCCTTGAACCCCTACTACCAATCACCTCTACCACCAATCACCCCCACCTCTAATCCCATCTGTCCAGGGCATTTCATCAGCAAGGGACTTAGGGTTGTTGGAGCAGTTACCAGCACTAGACCCTGCCTCCCTCCCCAACTCAAAAGGGAAAGCACCGTCTTCCCTCCACACCACAACATTCCAGCCATGTGGCCCAGAGGGTAAGTCCACTGGCAGGGATCAGCCCTTGGGTGCCATCTGGCCCTAGGAATTCTCCACTTTTCCCATCCTCACCCTAACCTGCAGGGTCAAGCCAAGCCACCAGAGGGATGGGCAGACAAGAATTATTCTGACCTTTTGCCTTAGCTCGCCAGGGTCCAGGCCTCTACAACACTTCCAGACTCAATGCCATGCCTCCTCTACTCAGCCCATCATCTCTACCTCCTCCCCACAAGCAACCTGGACTCTGCCCCTGTGTCCCCTGGCTCTGATAGGTGGCCTTTTGCTTTATCTCCACCTCACTTCCTGCTCCAGTCCACATCATGCTGCCATGTGTGAACTCTAACTTCTTACCAGCTCTCCTTTCTAGGTCATATTCCCTCACTAGAATGGAAGGTCCCCGAGGCCAGGGACTGTCTTGCTTTGGGGTATTTGGGTCCCCAGCACTTAGCACAGTGCTATGCCAAGGCACAAAATAAGAGCTCAATAGATGCTTTATCGATCTATCTAACCCAGGACTGGCATAGGGCCAGAAGATGTTCAGTGCATGTACATCTTGTATCCTCAGGCAAAGGGCGAGGTCCATATGTACCTTGATGTCCCTTAGAAGCCTCACAGCCAATGGTACCATCCTCTTGGGAGGTGACCAGGCCCTAAGAGCCATGGACATGGGAGATGGAGTTCCCTGTCTCTTCCTGCCTCCCCCCAGACCAAACTGTACCTCATCTTCCAGCTTCACCACCTTGGCCTGGGCATTGTTCAGGGCCTGATCCCGGATTTCAATATGGCGTCGTTGGTCTTCATTAGTGGAGCGCACAGCTGTCAACTCCATCTCCAGCTTCTCCTTCTCCCGCTGAGTCTCTTTATCTGGCAGGACAAGAAAAAGTCACCACCACCACCACCACCACCACCACCACCACCACCCTGGGCCAGACCCAAGTTCTTGCCTGACCAAACTCACACAACTGGCTCTTGTGACCATTGCTTCTGTTGGGACACCACATTGCACAAAATTGGAGAGAGTTGCCTGGACCAGAGCTCTGGGTCTAGCTGTGAGGCCCTGGTCCAGACACTTCCCTTTTCAGGTCTCAATTTCCTCACTGGGGAAAAGTTCTGCCAACCTCACAGGGTCACAAGGCCTCAATGAGATCAGACATTTTGCAAACCTTAAAGGCCTATAGAAATACGGGCCGCTGCTCTGTCAATAGCACTGTCCTGTGCCATGAAAGGCTAAAGCTGCCAGTGAGAGAGGTTGGCGGCAGAGCGCTGAGAGGTAGAGAAGGTGGCTTAAGGCCGCTGCATCTCACTTCCTTAATGCACAGGAGAAGAGGCAGTGAGCCAAAAGAGGTCATAACCCCTGAGCTGTTACATCTAATAGACCAGTAAATATGATACCCAATAAAATATACTTGAACCCCCAATCCCGCCCTTTCAACTGGAACATTATTTCTGAGCTGTGAGCAAGGCTGAAATTAGGTTTTCCCTGGAGACCAGATGTTGCTGAGTCTGACCGCCCATCCTTTCTCTTCACCCCCCAATCTCTGCATCTGTTTCTCTACTGGGAACGCATTCATCTTTCAAAGGCCTGGTGGCACAATTAGAAGGTACCTTCCTGCCTTCTGAGCAGAGAGGGGGCACCCAGAGCAGGGCTAGAGAAACCCACGACGGCCTCCCTGCCCTGGTTCCCCAACTGGGCTGAATGGGCCAGAGAAACATGAAACAAACAAAAAAACAAAAGAAACAAACATTTCCGGCTTGTGTGCCCAATGCCTCCTCTCATTTTCTGTGGCCTATGGCTCTCACGTGCCAGTTCCCAATGGGCCGAGAGTGGGGTAGGAGGTGGGAAGAGGGTACCAGACTCTGGGTCTTCCATTTAAACCCATACAGGAGCACCTAGACAGCAGATACCCCAACATCTGTTGGGTGAATTCTTTCTCCCATTTGCTCCCCAAACTAGGAGGGAAGAGGACAAGAACACCAGAGTGGTGAGGGAGGGTGCCCCCAGACTGGCCCAAGGTCCTGAAGGAGAAGCAAACAGTCTCTGAGAAAATCAAGCTATCCAAAGGAATGGAGCTTTAGAGGGTTTGACTCCAAAGCCACTAGGACATCATCTGGTCTGCATTTCATTTAGTTAAATGAAAACAGTCGCAACCCATGTTTTAACGATTGAACTGATGTTCAGAATCACTTCTCGTAAATTGATTCAAAATTAGAATGGAAAGCCAAGTCAACACCACTGCCTCCGTCCCTACTTGGCAAGATCTTGCCACCCTTTGAACAAGACTCTCCACCCCCGCCAGCCTGCCCACCTGCCCGCCTGCCCCAGGGGCCAATGACAGCAGCCGAGTCTTTGCCAACTTGTCTCCCAATTTAGCTCCTTGGCCCAATCTTGAAGTGACCATGTTAGGTAGGTAGCTCCGTGATCATTTCCAAGTCTGTTTTATGAGCTCATTTGTGGGTCAAGTGGGGAGACACTCACACACACATACACATACACACACACACACACACACACACACACACACACACACACCCCTGTCCAGGGTGGAAAATTCTTTTGGAGGCACGAGCTATTAGAGCCCTAAGACCTTTTCCAAGCAGGTTAATAAAAACCTGGTGTGAACAGGTGGGAAGCGGGCAGTTGTCTAACTTGAGGTCTGAGCTCAGCTCTTTGGATTCAGGCCCCTATCAAGTTCAGGCTGGCAGGGAGGGCCCTTTGCTTGGGTGCTCAGCATCCTGTGAGGGTTTAATGAGAGCCACAGCCTCGTCCTGTCCTCCCGGAGGGCCCAAACTACTGGCTCAAGGCAGCATGGGCAGAAAGGCAAGACCACCCAGGCGTGGCCCACCTAGGTGGCCTGTCTCTCTTCTCCTCGGCTGCTTCTGACAGAAGGCCAAGACGAGGGGGAGTAGGGATTTGCCCTTCTCCTTCCATACAGCCCTGTCCAGGGAGAGAAGCCAGAGCCCGCTGGTTTTCCAGAGGAGCAGACATAGTGTCCAAAAAAGGGTCCTCCCCTGTGTGCATGCCTGGGTCTGACTGGGCCCTACTCTGACACCCAGAGCTCAGTCCAAACTAGGCTGGCTCATGCTCTGACTCTCTACCCCTGCCTCACCCCCACCAAGGACTCCTACATTCTATGATAAGCCCTCACAAGTCAAGTTCCTTCCCCAATTCCCCAATTCTTCCTTCTTACAAAGAGGTGGCTCCATGTTTCATTAAAGTTTGGCTCTGGGGCAGGATGGGGCTGGTAGAAAGAACACTGGGCAAAGAGTCAGGGGCTCTGGGCTCTCATCTCAGTTCTGCTCTGACTTGCTGTGTGGGACCAGGGGTAACAGGCTAGATGTGGCTAGGCTTGCCCTCTCTCTGGGCCTCAGTTGCCCTCATCTTAAAACAAAGTTAATTCTTGCCCTGTTCACCTCACAGAGCTAGAAGGAACCTTAAATGTCTCTCATTTTGCAGATGAGGAAACTGAGGCCAGAGAGTAAGTAACTTGTCTAAGGGCACATAGCATAGCTAGTAAGTTGTGGAGGTGGTACTGGACTCTAAAGCCGCCATACCTGGAGGCCTCGATTCTCTCCTCCATGTGTCACAATTCCATCAACATGAGACCTTCCCAAGCAGAGGGCGGAACAGAATGTCAGGTACAACCACCCACCTGCCCACCTGCCAACACACTGAGTCAAGCTAAATGCAACAGGCCCTTTATTTTCCATCCTACAACTGCAGGGCTTGAGAGGCACACACTCAGCTGATCCCATTTGTAAAGGAGGCAAACACACCTGGCCAAAAAATGTGTTTTTCGTATCTGGGGACATATCTAGGCAGAAATATGGAAGGGTTCTACACTGCCCCCATGCCCTTTGCTCCAACCCTTTTATCCAGCCAGCAAAGCCAGGCTTCACAAGCCCGCGACATCCTCAGCCCTGGTGGAGGAGAGACTTTGGTCTCCATCAGGGAGCCAGCCTGGACACTGAGCCAGCAACCTCCCGCCTGATGACACCAGACAAACTGCATTCCTTTCAGTAAGATTACCGACAAAGGAATAGGTGACTCCGGGAAGAGGTGACTGTCGGGGTGGGGGGGGATCCCAGCTTTGAAACCAGAGCACAACAGCAGCACAAGAAGAAATCCAGGGCAGCCAGAGCCAAGCCCCAGTGGGCACCCTGGGGAGCATCTGCAGAGAGGGGAGCAGCTGGGGCCACACCGGTGAGCTCTGCCGCCCTTCTGCACCTCCCCCCATGTGATTAAGGCAATTGGAAGGAATTAAGCCTTGCATGGCTGGGTGGAGCCCATTATGGACTCACTGAAAGGAGGGTGAATTCCCTGTTACCAACCAAAGGGCACTTCAGAGACAATGAAAGGCTATTAGGAGGCAGGTCCAGGCTCCTCCTTCCCCAACCACAGGCCAACTCTGGCCCCAGCAGGGCCTGCCTCCAGCCAGGGCAATGCCCTGGCATCATCCAGATGCAGCTCATGGGCCCTCGTTACTGAAAGAGCCCTGCTCAGGGATCCCCACTTGAACAGGACCAGTAGAAGGGGGGAGAGGGGGCAGGAGCCTCATCCCTAAAGTCTTCCCCGGCGACGCCCTCACCCCACCCCTCACTTCCCACCAGAGCTCTAGGCTCTCTAGCCCACATGGCTCTTCTGGTGGCCGGGCCAGTCCGCTTTCAGGCCGCCATGGAGCCCGAGTCCCCGGCACCAGGGGCCCGCTCGCCCACTCACTTTGTGCAAAGAGCTGGGAGATGGTCTTCTGGGTGTCCTCTGAGCCCTCATGCTCCTTCTCAGCAAGCTGCTTGTTGGCTGTCTCCATTCGCTCTGTGGGATTGGAGAGGGTCACTCAGCAGGGACCAGCACACTGGCTTCCGTCCACACAGGATTCTCACCCCTCAGACACAGACCCCGGCCGACGACATTAGCTTGTTCCTTCTTGCCAAACCCCGGAATGGGAGACTAGAAATATACGACCCCAAACCTGAACCCCCAGAGGAAGTTGGCCCAGCAGGGAGAAAGAGGGGAAAGCCATATGACGCCGTCTCCTCCTCCATGTCGTGAAAACAAGCAAGTGCCAGTGGGGTCCCTAGCCTCGGAAGCTCATTCCCAGGGCGGCCCAGAGCCTTTGGAATGCTGGAACTGGCGGCGGCTTGTTCAGCTTGGCCCCAGGGGGCAGAAGCAGCAACAGCAGGGGAAGGTGTGGGGAGCCAAACCCAATCTTCATGGAAGGAAAAACTCGCTGCCAATGAGAACAGTCAAAGGTAATCTGGGCTTCCCAGGGATGAGCCCTGAGCGGGTTCACCTATGAGGGCAGCTTTAGGGGGGTGGATGGCCCCTCATCAGGGGCACTGAAGGCCCTGGTTGGGACTAGATGCCTTCTAAGATGCCTGCCAAAGGCGGGCCTCCCTGTGATTAAAGGGGATGAGTGCCATGGAAGGCAGTTAGAAGAGCCAGGTTCTAATGCCAACTTTGCCACTTACTGTAAAGGCACTTAGCACAGTGCCTGGCACATAGTGGGCACTTAATAGATGTTGACTGATTGATTAAGAGTGACCCTGGGCAAAGTACTTTGCCTTTTCCAGCCTCAGTTTCCTCCTCTGTAAAATGAGGGAGGTTGGCCTGGGTGGTCTCTGAGCTCCTTCCAGCTCTGACCCTGTGAGTCTATGAAAAAGGCTTAGAGATCACACGGCCCAATCCTGCCTCTCCCCAGTTTACAGAGAAGGAAACAAGGCTGGAGAGGGAACCAGGGGCAGAAGTACTGAACTTCAGGGGCTGTGGGATGTCAGGTGAGCTCCCTGGGCCTTGGCGAAATGAGGGGGCTTGGCTGGAGGACCTGTATGGTACCTTCTAGCCTATGACCTCGGAGGCTGAGCTGCCCAGTGGGTACTCAGTTCGTCTGGCTCACAGGGAAGTGGCCCCTGTCCTGTCTCCGGGGCAGCCCTTCAGTGCTTGAGGACAGCTGCTGTGGCTTCCCTACGTTTGCTCTTTTCAGGCTCAAATAATCCCAGGGTCCTCCATCCACCCTCAGGTGACTCGCCTAAGGTGCTCTGTTTTCAAGAAGATGGGATTCTAAGGAGCCCTGGCCTGTGAGTTAGAGGCGAAAGCAGAGAAGGTCTACTAGAGTTACCTGGGGCTAAGCCCTTCCTGTGATCCCCGATTGGGGCAGGCCAGGGAGAGTGGCTGTCTAGAGGTGTGCCAACTTCTGTGACCTCCAAGCAGGGCCCTCCCCAGCAAACCCCCCATTCTTTCACGGAAGAGACAAAAAAGACCATCAGGAACCAGGGGCTGTCCAAGGGGGAAAGCTGCCTGTGCTCCTTAGGAGGGCTGTAGAGCTGGGACGGGCTGCCCCCTTCCCACCGTGTCAGTCTCTGTCTCTCCCCCTTCCCTGTCTCTGTCTCTCTCACACACACACCCCACACACCTGTACACACCCGCGCACACACATGCACCCACACGTGCGCACACACATGCACCCACACGTGCGCACGTGCACATACACTCCACTGGGCAGACAAGAGGGAGGGAGCAGGGGCCCCAAGCAGGAACTGTTCTCTTGTTCTCGTTGGGGCCACCCTGGGAGCAGAGTGTGCTCGTCCAGGTCATTTCTGAGCTCCCTTTACTCAGGGCTGGCTATTTGGGCAGGTTCTCGTCAGCTGGAAAGAAAAGGAGATGCAGCAGAAAGAATTCTGCATTTGGAGTCATGAACCCCAGATTCCCATTCCACTTGTGTGACCTTGGGTAAGTCTCTGTCCGTCTCTGGCCCTCTTCCCCTGTAAAATGGCACGGCATGACTTGATGATTCTGAAGCCCTCTATTTCTCAAGGATGAATCTCACCCCCAGACTTTCATGCCCTAGAATTGACGACCACTGCCAGATGGCCCATATTTCAACTGTCCATGTCCCATTCTTCAGCTCTTTCCCCAAATTCCCCAGTGCTCTGCTGACCCGCCAGCCAGCAGGGAACCTCACCTCGAAGGTCTCGATTAAAGTCATGGAGTCTGCGGATCTCTCCCTCGAGTTTGTTTCTCATGGCCTTCTCTAGGGTCTCCCTCTTGGAAGAGGTCTTCACTAGGTTTTCATAGGCCTCCGAGACACGCTGGATTTCTGTCTCCAGCTAAAAGGGGACCAAAAACAGAACAGAGACTTAGCAATAATGTTTTGGGGCAAGGGACGGAGAAGAATGGGTCAACCTCCAGCTTGATCCCTCAAGGTCTGATACGGGCATTCAGGAAACAAGGGTGAGTGCTAACAATACCACCGCTAGGGCTGTATCCCAAAGAGATCAAAGAAAAGGGAAAAGGACCCACAGGTACAAAAATATTTCGAGCAGCTCTTTCTGTGGTGGCCAAGAATTGGACATCGAGGGGATGCCCATCCATGGGGGAGTGGCTGAACAAGTTGTGGTACATGAATGTAATGGAATGCTATTGTGCCATAAGAAATGATGAGCAGGCAGACTTTAGAAAAACCTGGAAAGACTCACATGAACCGATGCAGAGTGAAATGAGCAGAACCAGGAAAACACTGTACACAGCAATAGCAACATTGTGTGACGATCAACTGTGAATGACTTCGTTATTCTTAGCAACACAATGATTCACGACAATCACTCATGAAGGAGAATGCTATGCTACATCCAGAGAAAGAACTATGGAGTCTGAATGCAGATCGAAGCACGCTTTTTTTTTAAAACATACTTTACTTCTTTCATTTTTTTTGGTTCAAGTTTTCTTCCATAAAAACACTAACATGGAAATATGTTTTACATGATTGCATATGTACAACCTATATCAGACTGCTTACTATTTCAGGGAGAGGAGAGGGGAGGGAGGGAAATATAGAATCTGGAGCTTAAAACTTAAAAAAAATGAATGCTAAAAATTGTTTTTACATGTAATTGGGGAGAAATATTATTTTAAAAAAAGACTAAGTGCCCACCAGGAGAGCTCTCCATTCCAGAGGGTTCAGGGTCAAGGTAAGTTAGGAGTTCACCATGACCTTGGTTTGGCCCAGCTGAAAAAAATGGCCCTAATTTGTCCTACATAGAGAATTCTCAGAGTTGAAAGGGGTCTTAAAGTCTGTCTGGTCAACAAGTTAACAGGCCTTTGTCAAGTGCCTACTATGTGCCGACCACTGGTCCACCCTAAGGAAGGTGGTGAGCTCTCAGTCACCTACACAAGCTAAGGGCTGGCCTATGCATCATGTCATCCCACTTACAGGATCCCTGTCATGAGGGGAGGGGAGCACAGATGACTTTCTCCATTTTACCACAGAAAGACTGAGTGATCTACCTAAGGTCCCACAGCATCCCAGAGTTGAGACCAAAGAGCTTGGCCTTGAGCTCCAGCCACTAGGTTGGGATATTCTTTCAACCCTCAGAAAATGAGATGGAAGCTTCGAAAACAAGTCTGTGTCTTACCTGGAGACATCCAGAGTCCAGATGAAATCAAGGAAGAGAGCCCTGACCTAGCCCCCTCCAGTCAGGTCCTCTGTCCCTTATCAAATTTGGCCCAGTTCAGAACCATTTTCCTTGCCAAGAATCAAGATTCAGTAGAATCAGGGACCCTGGAGGTCTCCACCATACACATAGGACTGTCATGGGTGTATGAAAGAAGACTGGGGCTAGGGAATGGGGAAGGCCCAACCCTCACTGGGGATCTGAGGCTAGACATTCCAAAAGCATTAGAAGCCTTGTGGGGCAGCCAGTGGGGCAGCTAGGTGGCCATGTGGGCTGCTGGCCAGGGACCCACCCAACAAACTACATTGGGCAGTGCATGGGTCCCACGCAAGTATTTCTCCCTTAACCTTTGTTCTCCCTACCTTACCAGCCCTCGAAGTTACAGGACCTGGGTCTGCAACCAACTATTCTCTACCTGAGTGCCCTTAAACAAGTCACGCCCTTCTCTGGGCTCCCTCTTTGTGTAATGAGGGGGCTAGATCGGATTGTCTCGAAGGCCCCCCTCAGCTCTCTGAGCTCTCTATGGCCCCACGATGGGCACAAAAGCATATCTATGCCCACCAAACCCTGATTCCTCCCCCTTGGGCTCCAGGTCAAACTTGGCTCCTTCTACCTTCCCCATGGAGAGCTTGGCCATACCTCTGGAAAAGAGATCGAGAACATGGAAGGAGTCGGGGGTGGAGGAATGGGGGGACATGGGCCCCTGCTTTGGTAACTCCCTGGCACCCCATCGCCAAATGGAAGGCAACCACTCCCTAGCACATTCGCTCTTTACCAACCCCTAGCAGGGTACTAACTTCCTCCTGGAGTCAAGGCGTCTTGGCAGCTCAAGAAAGATGTCAACCATTAACCAGCTCAGCTAACTCAGGAGGCTGACCTGGACACTGTGGCTATAATGGGAGAGGCTGTGGATGGCAACCTCATTAACGTGACTGGCTCCAGTCTCTCTACTGAAGGCCCTGAGGGCCAGCCCCAGGTGGGCTGTTTTTAGGACCCTGATATGGTGTTAAACAACCAGACCCTTGCAACTTCTCCTCTTGAGAGTCTCCTAAGGACATTGGCAGAGAACACCGCCCTGGAGCCTCCCTGCTCACAACACACACACATGAGGCCCTCCTTTCCCAAAGAGTTCACATGGGAGGTAGGGACAGTGAGCCACAGGATAGAGAGGGCTAGAAGTTGGCAAACGCATGGTTCCATTCACTGGCCTCCCTGAGAAGTCAAGAGTCAGGGGGCTTGACTGGTAGAAGTGTTTAAGAGCACTGGGCCTCAGATGCAAAGAGGCTACTGGCCCCAAGTTGTCATCAGTCGCACAGCTTTGGAGAAACTAAGGCTCCTGCCCCTCTATCCCCACCCCCCACATACACCATGTCGCTAAGTTGGGAAGGAGTGGTTGCAGCAGGAAATAGATGCTCCCAGCTTTTAAAAAAAATCATATTAGAACTGGAGCTGCAGGGAAAAGGTCTTGAGAAAACATTTAAGGAATGATATTTCATTTCCCACCACCAAGGCTTTGCCTAAGCTGTGCCTCATAACTAGAATGCTCTTCCCCATTGGAACTCTTTACCTTCTGCAGCTTTGTAACTTTCTCATAGCAGGTGTCTAGCTCCTGCCGCAGGGACCGGTTTTCCTCAGAGAGAACCTCCACCATCTGCTGGGCTCTGAAGACAATGGCATAGGGGTCCGATGGCATGGGCTGGTAAGGTGAGGGTATCTGCTGAGCCCGAGGCATGGCTGGGTAGGCTTCTCCTGGCTGCTGCTGGTTTGGATTGGGCTGGCCCTGGCGATATGAATCCCCCTGGTGGCCCTGACTAGGCAGGAATAGCTGCTGAGGCCTGGGCAGGAGAGAGTTGTTGGGCTCTCCCTGGTTTGGGCTCAGCGGGTGCTGCTGTGCAGGTGATGGCCTGGTTGTTGGTGGAGACTGTAGCAGGTTCAAGGACCCCAGCGACGTCACAGAAGATGTAGGGCTGTGATGGTGAGGGGTCCTTGGCTGCAGTGAGATGTCCTGGGCTGGCCTGAAAAGCAAAGAACACAGCAGGTAAGTTCTGCAGCAAAGAGGTCAGGGAGAGGAGCAAGGAGCAGTATGGGGGGGTGGGGCAGGGAAGGGTCACAATCCGACCAGGCAGTCCATGCACTTTAAACATCAAGTCCTCTGTCTGTGTGCTCCAGGCATAGAGGATGGTGCTTGGGATTAGGCTTAGAGTTGGAATTAGTATCAAACCCACTGTCCCAGGACAAATGAATCCAGAAGAGCCTTCTCCCATAAGCCTTCTGGGAAGGAAACAGCACAAGCATCAGCAGCTGCATCTACACTTTACAGATGAGGAAACCAAAGCTCAGAGGGGTTCAGTGGGGAGAGTCAATAGTGTCAGGAGCAGATTTTGAACACGCATCCTTTCTAGGTTCCGAGTTCAGGTCTCTTTCAGCTACTTCATAGTATCTCTCCATTTCCCCCACGGCCACTTCTCCCCATAGCTCAGGCTCACTCTCTGCCGATGGCCCGAGGTCTAGAAAGGCTAATGTCCTGGCACGTGCTTGGGTCACTTCTGTGACCAGCGGGGATGATTTTCAGCAAAGGGGCCGTGCCCTGGTCTTCCCTATCGCTAGGCCTCTGTTGTGATGGATGAGTGACTCAGCCCTGCCATCTGCTTGAGTCTCTGAAGAATCCGCTATAGCACTCACCCTTCTCATCATTGCTCTCAATCCAAGGACCTTGAACCTAAGTCTTGCCTAACACTGCAGATGGACATCACATTAGAAGGTGTGACCCATGTTCACTCATTGGCTTGCCAAACATTCATTAAGGGTCTCCTGCATGTAGGAAGATGAACCTGCACTGTCCCCAGTAGTCCCCCGGGGCCAGGTATGAGGGCCACATATGGCACTATGTTTCAGATATAGTCAGAGAACTGCAGAGCAGGAGGGGCACTTCAACATCAGCTAGACCAAGGCCCCACTTTACAAAAGGGGAAAGTGAGGTCCAGAGACAAGTGACTCAGGCCAAGGGTTCCATGGTGAGTCGGTGGCAGGGCTGGGACTAGCCTGGCAGCCAACCTGACGGCCATGTGTATCACTGAGAATTCTGAGCTATGCTGTCATACGGGGCGAGTCCTAGAGATAGAACCACTGTCTGTTCTTTCATGTAGGGGTTGGGGCCACTTGACTAGAAGAACAGAAGGTCCTCGAGGGCAGGACGGTTGTGCATTTCCCTTTGGTATGCCCAGTGCCTAGCACAGAGCCTTTTGTTGCCCTAGGGCAGATTTAGCGTACTGCTGCCAGTGTCCAAAAGTATTATTTCCTTGGAAAGTCCTGCACTGTACACCAGGAGACCTGCATGACTGCATTTGGAGGCCTGGGCACCCACTCCAACTCACAGATACTTGGTTTCCACAGGATTCAGGAGGGGCCCTGATGGCGGCTCATCTTCCTTCTCCCCAGACCTAGACTTCAGGAGTAGTCTAGGAGCACACCCCTCCAATTCTCTCCCCTGGCTCCTAAGAAGCAGAGCACAAACACACAGTAAAAATAGAACTGATAAGAGGTAGGCCCTTCTAGCTAAAAGTGCTGCTGAACTGTGGGGAGCAGGTCTAACTTGCCAAGTGAGGCCAGTGAGCAGCCTGGGACACACCCTAGTGAGCACGCGAGAAACAGACCTCTGCAATGCAACCAAGGGCAAATAAAGGGAGCATAGACAGATGCTTTCCAAAGAACTCTGAGCCCATTTCTTCAGCAGAAAGATTCATTCCAGGGGCATCCAATCATCCAGATAGTCAAAGAACAAGGTCCCCCCAGAACTCAAAGCTCTCAGCAGCCTCCTAATTCCAGACACGCTTTTTTAAAGAAGAGCTTGCCCAATCAGTGCTCAGTGCCTAACCCACCCATCACTCTACTGGATGCTAATGACAAAGAGTCCCAGTTCTACTGTACTTTGGAGGGCCATGTGGACCCTTCCTTCCTACAAACTCCAAGCACTGACCCCCTTCACCAGGTAAGTAGTGGGTGGCTCTCCCAATTTCCTCTTGAGAATTCTACCATCTTTTTCTCCTGGGCTCCTCCTCCTACTAGCGGTGCTTGGGAGTTTCTCGGGATGCCGAGAAAAGGCTCAACAAATAGAAAGTAAACAGAAGAACAGCCTTATGTAGGTGGGGTTCTCCTCCCTAGCCACCTCTCCCAACTGGCCTGGAATTGGGGCAGGTCACTTAACCACTGTGTATTCAGCTCCTTCATCTGCCAGATGACATCAGCTGCCTTCACCTACCTCCCAGACCCCCTTGAAGGACTACAGGAGAGAACGCCTATGAATGGAAGCATTACGGAAAACAAACTGCCTTGTAAATTCAGAAGGGTAGCTATGCGGATTTATGTATGTAGACAAAAGATCCCAGAACAAATTCAATTAGTGCCTCAGTGACCTCATTTGCTCTGCTAGGCCCTGCCAACTTGGTGGGGGGGGGGCGGGAGGAGAGGTCAGACACAGACCCTGCCCTCAGGAAGCTTAGAGTGGAGTTGTAATAATGTGGCTGCTAGAAGGGTAGGGGAGGGAGCCCAGCCGCAACTGGTACACTCCACAGAAACTCACACTTGCCCAAGCAAACAGATGGCAGCTCTGGTCTCATTGTCAGGCTCAGACACTCAAGGGCCACCTCTACTCTGTGTGGGGTTCATGTTGCTGGCCTGCTTTGAAGGATACAACGTATTGGCCTTGGGAGCTGAGCTCCTCTGGGGTTCAAGGCAACCTGCAGCAGTTGGGAGGCTCGTGTCCTAAGGGGGTATTCTCTTTCAGGCCTGTAGTCCAAGAGCAGAACCAGGCTTCTCTCCGGCTCTCCTGGGCCCAATCAGGCAACATTCACCATATAACCTCTTCTGGGTTTCTGGCGCCTTTGCCTCCCACACCCCCCACTCCCCGACCACCACCCCCACCCCCGTCGGCCAGACCACACAGTCTGGCCGATCCAACACTCAGCTGAGGAGTCTGGTCTCTCCCCAGGGGCAAACTGAGAGGAAGCAGCTGCGCCTCAGTTTCTCCAGGCTGTAAACAGAAAGGAAGAGTACTATAACACAGATCTCCATTTACTGGCTATCGTGAAAAGGAACGGACTTCCTTGCCAAATTCCATCTGGATCCCAGCAGCCACCCAGATGAGAAAAGCTGAACAGCATTAACACAGCTTTGTGGCAACAGGGAGACCTGAAATCCTCTCTCCCCCTCCCCCCCCAGCAGCCCACCTGGGTAAGATCCCTAAGCACCTCATCGAAGCCAACACATTGCAACATTAACCATGCAAACCAAGCAGGCACAGACAATAGCATCACATGATCCCAGGGGCTGGGCCCTGACCTCAGAGGTCCCTCAGTCCCCAAGCAGTCAGACACTGGGTCGTTCCATCCAGGTACCCTGGGTGCCCAGCCAGGAGCCCGCCTGGCCTTCCTCAGTCACTCTCACACACACTCACATCTATATTGGTCCCAGCAGGCACACACTGGCACCAGTGCACAGGTGAAGCCAACAGCCTGGAACCCAACTGAACCTCGCCACAGGAACTGCGGTCCTTTCTTTCCCAGCCTCTCCAGTGGTGAATCAGAGAGGGCCGGGCATTCCTTCTCTTGCACAAGCTGTGCTCTAAGGTCGCTCTTAAATTCCACTGAACAATGATTGAAAGAAACCTCAGACCTGGGCAAGAGTTCAACAATTGAAAGGAGATGGCTGCTTTCTTTATAAACAAAAATAATCTTTTTTTTTTTAAAAGGTTTTCTTCTTTTCTTTGCTTAACAAAGCATTCAATCAATGTATAACCCTAGTGTGCGGAAAGAGCTCAGGCATCAAGGCGGACAAAGGTTTGGAGCCTGGACTCCCATCTGGAGGGCTCCGTCCTGGGCCAGGCTCCGGTGTGCGGCCTTTCTTTTGCTGCCTTCTGTCTCCTAGGGGGACTCCGCGGCAGGACTTCGGCTAAATGGCCACGGACGCTTTTTCCGACTCCAAAGTTCTCCCCATACAGATTCTTCCTCTTTCTTTTTTTTCTTTTTTTTTTTTTTTTTTGCAAGGGGGGTGGGAAGGAGGGGAGGAGGAGGGAGATAAAAGGATTCTTTTTTTCTCCCGGGCTCCCCAGCTAATCTCCAGACGTTCTCGAAGCCTCCCTAGCAGAGAAGGATTTAGCAGCAATTTGCTCAAGGGTTCCTCTCTATGCCCAGCTCTGTCATTTGTGGATTAAGGCCCAAATTTCCACTTTTAATCGTTGGGCTTCCTTGCAAAGCCAAATGGGCTACAGGAAACAGAGGTCCTTGCGAGGCAGAGGCAGCCCAGCCTGGCCTCCTTAAGCGGGGTTTGGCGGGAGCTGGCCTGGCAGCCCCGTTCACCCACCACACCCTGCCTGCTCTCCTAGACCCTTCGAAGCAGCGCCTCTTCTCCCACACAGTCAGAGTTCACTCAGAGCAAAGCCAACTCATTCTCCACTCCAAAAGGGGCCTAGCTCTCATCACTTCCCAGCCCCAAGTGACAGAAACGGAGCCCCCAGCCAGCAGCACACAGGGCCACACGAGGCATACCCACGGAAAGAAATCTTGCTAAGAGGCCGATTTTCCCGGATTGGCTTTTTCCGGGATGGAGAAATCAGCAGATAGCTGAGGGGGGAAGAGACAAGGCAAAGTTATTCTCATGGAATTTCTGCAGCTAAATTTCCCCAGTGGTTTAATCAGTAATGGAAGGGAGGGGGGGAAATTTCCCTCTCTGGGCTCTTTATTATTTATTTAGGCAGATCAAAGGGCTTTTCTCCTATCCAGATTCAAGTTTTAAATGCTGTGGGAGTCGGTTCAGATCACAAACAATACTGGGGAATGAGTTCTGAAAATAGGTTTCCTGAGAAGGCGGGTGGGCTACTTAGACGCTGGCTTGAGATTCTGCTCCCCTCCCCACCCCCACCCCAGCCCAAGACACTGAGATCTCTCCTAAACCAACACCAGAAACTTCCTTGACAACCCCAGACCCCCAGAATCCCCTAAGCTACACAGATGCCACCCTGATCTGAGGGGCTTGCTCATCAATGAAGCCAGCCTAGCCACGGCTCCCACCTCCTCCTGCTTCATCAGGCACAGCAGGGAGGACCCAGATTGGTACTGTCTAGTGACCCATTTCCTGCTCCAAGCCCCTTATCAAGACAGTGGCTCAAGAGGGATTTGACTTTTGAAAATCCTACAGAAGAGGCTAGTGGGGGTTAAGGAAATCCCAGGGCTCATGCTTTACCTTCACCCTAGTCTTTGAGGCCCCTTGGGGACTTCAGGACAAAAGGCTCTTTGCCTGCTGGCCAATCCAGTAAGAGAAGAAACATGGGACAAGTAGTAGAGCTCAATGCCCATGGGATTGAGTCTAGAAGGGCCCTTAGAGAACTCCTAAGCCATTGCCTTGATTTTAGAGCAGAAGGTCCTCAGCTCCAGAGAGGGTAAAGTTGTGGAGCTAATAAGCAGGAATAGAGCCCAGGTTCCTCTGATGACTCCAGTGCTCTCTCTGCTGTACTACCAAGAATCATACCCCAATAATTCTAGGTTGTTTGGGTCCTGAGCCTTCAGACCTACAGCTGTAAGTTTTCTCTCATTGCAGCAAGGGGAAGCAATGAAAGATCGATGTGTGCTATTAGCCAGACTTGCAGCGGGTCTTCCTAACTCCAAGGCTGGTTGGCCTCTCTCCTCTCAATGGAGCTCGGTGAAGCCTGCAGGCCCACTCTGGCCAAGATTTTCAGTCACCTTCCCTAGCCGAAGGCAGAGAGACAGTCAAACTGGGGTGAGCAGCAGGATGGAACTAGTGTATCCTCAGCATTTTACAAGATGGAAGAGAATATGCCTTGAGGTCTACAATCCCCCTCACTGTGGGCCTACAACTAAGAAACTGCAGAGATCCAGATCCAGAGTTCACCACTGGAGCTCAGGAGTGACTTATGTAGTGGGCATTTAATAAATAGCAGTTGAGCTAGAGGGTCAAGAATTGGGGGATGAGACAAGAAGATAGCTGCATTACTGAGCCATCCCCCCCCACACTGAGCTTCTTTCCCCATCCCATCTGTGAAAGTGCCCCCAAGCTAAAGGAGAGCCCCAGGAGATAGTATGGACAGGCAGAGCTGTGCAGGGCAGAGACACTGCTCACCTGCTTGCTCCATACTCAGGGGGATGCTGGTACCTCATCATGGGCCCCTCCATTCTCCCAGGCTGGCTCAGACGATGCTCACTGAAGAAGTGCCCGGCTTCCTGGGGCTTGCAGATCAAAGCTGGGTTGGGCATGCCCTTGAAGGGATAGTCAGGAGGGGGGCCCCGATGCTCCATGACCTTCAGGCTGGGCTGGGCTGGTGCTGGTCCTGGGTTCTTGTAATAGTCACTCGAACTAGCAGGGTTTTTGTAGAGGTCGCCAGGCTGCGGTGGAGAATGTGGAGAGCTCGTCACGGGGGCATGAGCCTTGACCCCACTGGTGGCCAGTGACAGCTGCATCAAGCGCTCACTTAGGGAGCGGACGTGGCCTTGCTTGAGATCGCGGAGCCCCTCATCCTGGTGGACTTTCCCAGGGTTGAGCCGCTGTACCGCTGGCTGTCCCTCCGTTCTCATCTTCTGGTTAGTGACCCCAGTGACGTAGAAGGCAGCCCCAACACTGGCATGCTGCTGGCCTCGGAAGTACTGGGACTGGACCTTGGCTTCCTCATAGGTGGGCAGATCTTCACTGTTCTGTCTATGGGAGGGCAGCTGCTTCTCCATGACGTTGTTGTCCACCTGGATCTCCTGGCCCTGGGGCTCTTGGCGGGCAGCATGGGCCCCGAGTTGCTGTGGGTGGGAGTGTGGGTGCACATGTGGGTGCTGGTGCACATGAGGGTGCTGGTGCGGGTGCTGGTGCTGATGCTGATGTGGGTGCTGGTGATCCTGGGGGTTCATCCCTTCCCCCTGAGATCCAGGGCTCCCGCCCCCACCGCCAGGGAAGGGTGGCGCATTCCCTGTGGCTTGCTGGTGCAAGGCCAGGAGGTTGCGATTATCATTGGGGTTCCCATAGCGCAGCTGCTCCTGGAGCAGGCGCTGTAGCACAGTTGGGGTGGCTGGGGGGTCTTCAGAATTCCTCATCTCCAAAGCTGGGGCCTTGTGGGCGGAGAGTGAAAGTGGCTGCTTGGGCTGCCCTTGACCTGCAAAGGGAAACAGCAAAGTCTGAACCAGGGAGCTGACCAGAGTCTGGGCTGGCCCCGACTCACCCACTCAAACCAAGCAGAGTGCTGGTCAGCTAGTACCCTGGGGGATTGGGGTGGCACTGCCAGTCCCCAGCTGGGTGATCCTGGGCACCCAGGGATTCTCTGCCTCTTAATAAAGATGTCAATGCCAATCTGACCTTTGGGAACAAGTTACCAAGAGCAAAGGTGCACAAAGCAATTCGCCCACGGAAGCCACAACAGCAAGGCTTAAAAAAAAGGGGGAGAGGGGGGAAACAAAGGAGAGAAAAAGAGAGGGGAGGGGAAGGGAGAGAAGAAGAAGGGATAGGGGAGGGGGGAGAGGGGAGGGGAGAGAAGAAGAGGGGAGGAGAAAAGAAGGGAGGGGAATGGGGAGAGGAGGAGAGGAGAAGAGAAAAGGGGAGGGGAGGGTCGGCTTTCTAGAGAAAAAAAACACCTCAATACTCTGATAAACAACTTTTTCGTGGCCACATTAGGGAACACGATGGTTTTTTTTGGGGGGTGTTTTTAATAAATTCCGCATTACAGTATTGGCAGAGGGCTGCTAATGGCAAGGGCCCTCAGGCTGCCTTCAGCAGCGATCTGACCATACCTATAATGGAGAGATTTGCTTGTAAGTTTGTTTGGGGGCCGGAGGCAGAGGTGATGTCAGGCCTCCCTCGGGCGCCTTGGACACACGTTAGGTGTGTACCAAGAAGCAAAGGCAACGTTCTCAAGACTTAGCCAGCCCTGGCACTGCAGTGATGGAAGGCCCGGGGCCCAACATCTGAACCCTTGACCCACTGTAATAGGGGGCCATCCCTGCTCCCCGGCAGAAGAGGCCCATGTGACAGGTCTCCCACAGAGGGGGACAGGCCTGGTCCAGTGTGGCTCACTCTGCTAGGTCCCCTCCTTACTAATTCTCCTTAGATAGTCCAAGACCTCTCACACTCATGTGGACAAGGGTCAAAGATCAAGGCACTAGGGGTCAGGTTCCAGGATGGGGACCCAGGTATTTGGGCCCCTAGTCCCTTATCTCCAGCCACTGCCTTTCATCCCACCCCACCCCCACTCTGCAAACACAAGCCCCTCGGCTTTGGGTCACCATGGAAATGCAGGCAGAAGCGGGGTGGGAGGAGGACAAAGGTTGAAGGCTGGCTGCCCTGCCCCCCCTGCTCCCCCATCCACCTTCAAGTCACTAGCCCTGTTCTCCCTCAAGCCTACAGGTGCCCTTAGTAGGAACTTTGTCATTCCTCCTCCTGGCCTCTGCCACTGCCACTTCCTCTTCCAAGGTGGCAGGCCCTGTTTCCACCCACTTCACTGTGCTTCACGCTCACCCCATCTTGTCCTGTCTAATGATTGGGTTGGGCTTTTCTTAAGTCCTGACCACTTTAACATGCAGACAGACCCCTCTGAGTAAAACCCAAATGGGAGCTGGAAATACCTGTTTCTACCCCCCCAAAGAATGCTGCAGCTTTTCCCTCTCTGCCACCCCTCCCAAAGCAAATGGAAGCTGTTCTTACCTATTTCTGCTCTCCTTTGGGAAACCTCGGAGAAGGAAGAGGCTTCTTGCTCAAACTCGGCCCAGTGGCCTGGTCTGTCTGCCCCTCACTCTGTCTGTCTTCGTCAAAGGCCCTGTGCTGCTGCTGGCGGAGGCCCAGCTGATCCTGCAGGCCGTCCCACCACTGGCCACTCTGAAATGTTCAAAAGGGAGGGAGGAAAAAAAAGACCCCGTTCTCTTTTACTACCGGCGGCTGGCCAGCAGGCACCCAAAGCAGGTCTCTGGGCGTCTGACTCCCACTTCCTCCCACACTCCAGACTTTTAATGAGTTACGGATTGCCTCCACTGGAGCAGAAAGGAACCTCAGGGTCCAACAGCTGTGTCCGAGCACTTGTGTCTGCCCCAAGGTGTGGGACTGAAGGAACCTGCTTATTATGCCTGGGCCTCTTAGAGGTGGGCAGGGATAGGCAGTGCCCAAAGGTATCATTGGCACCAGTGTGTTCAGCAGGCCCTTCCAATGATGCCTAGGGGCAAAACCAGGGTACCCCATGAGCAGCTCATTAAGGCCTCCAGTCAGCAGAGATGATGTTGGGCAGCATCTTACCTCCTCAACCAAACTGGTCAGCCAGGCTCCATTGAGCACTTGGCTGGCCCCCAATGTCACGGGGGGGCGGTCTCCCTGGATATTGGCACCTTGGGAAGTCAATAGGGCAAGGCTTATTCTCTGTCACTTGGCAGATGAGGAAACCAAGACCCAGGGAGGGGAGAGGTTATTCAGCTTGTACGTAGCTTAGCTTAGACCTGGACTCAATGCTAGGTGTTAGAGAAGACAACAGGAGTCAAAAACATCCCCAGTCCCCATAAAGGCCATGCTACCCAGTAGGAAGAGGAGGAGTGATTTGTTTTTGCCACTAAGGGTCCCTTCCCCCACCCCTGCCCTATGCCATTCAGACTCCCACCTGGCTGGGCCACATCCTGAAGACCGACCTGGTCTTCATCTGTCTTGGTCCTGTGAGAGCGTTGAAACTGTGTGTGTGTGTGTGCGCGCGCGCACGCACGCGCGCGCTCACTCGCTCATGTATGTAGTGAGATGCACACAAAGCACTTGACTGACAATTCCCACAACCCCACCTTCAGTGGGCGACTCACATCACTCCCAGAAAAAGCTGGAAGTGGAACCCAAGGGCAGAGGAGTGCGGGGACTGTGCCAGGCAGCCCACATTTGCAAGGCACAACCCAAACACAGCAAGTCTAGAAGCAGGGCACCAAGTCACAAAGCCCAGTGACTGATGGAACAGAGCTTCCCGGCACCGTTGCCAATGATCAAAAAAAGAGGAAAAGATTCAGGAGAATTTGGCAACTGTGCAGAGGTGTCTCTCCATGTCAGCCTGGCCCCAAGCATGACCACAGCCTGAGGCAAAATGGCAGCCCATTGCAGAGGACATATTCCAGGGCATTAGTCCCAGCTTGGGGGCAGCTTTGAAATAGGCTCCATTCTGTATTGAGGAGAATCCCAAGGAAAGGAAGGTCACTGTCAAATTCTGCCCCAGGTGTCTGGCCTCCTGACCCAAGGGCGCTCCACCCCCACTCTGCTCCTGCATCCAGAGGGTAGGGCTGGGCCAGGCTGGGGAGGCAGTGCCAGGGCCAAGCCCTGGCTCAGAGCAGCATTGATTCAGACCAATGACCAGGCCCGGTTTCCTCTCCCTCACCTGGGCCTACCTGAGCAGTGACCCCTCGACCCTTCAGCAGACAATGATCGCAGAGTGCTCTCCAGGCTTGAGCAACTGGGCCAGGAGGATGTGGCAGATTTTCTTCCCCCCGCCAGGCCCCCACCTTCTTTAAACTGCTATTTAAAAGAGGAAGAGAAATCCGTCTGAGGAAAAGCTTTCCATATCCCTTTCTAGTTTACAGAATTTTCTCCAAGACTCATGGGGTCAGCTCCATGTCAAGAGGCATAGATTGAGGGGGGGAAACATTGTTTATTTTGCTTTTCAGAGAAAGAAAAGGAAAAGGAGTCCTGCCATGTTCAGAAACAAAAATAGAACGAGCTCTGGAGCCTTCAAACAGTACGCTGCGGCTTCGGGCACCAGGATGAGGCCTGGGAGGGAAGGGTATCCGGCGTGAGAACAACAAGGTGGCCAGGCCAAGTGAAATGCTGACTGCTCCTCTCCGAGTCCCAACCCCTGACCTCTCCCAGCAGACCTGGCAGAGTCGAAGGCCCAGAGCGACCACCTTCCAAGGTGGTCATGGGCAGGAACCACATTCCCATCCTCGGAATAAATCCTGGGAACATAACCTGGCCAGAGAGTCCCGCCCCCCACTGCCCACCGAGATGGTGGAGAGAACTCATTTGCTTGTGAAATCCTGGTTAGCTTGTCCCATCCAAATGGACTCCCAGCTAAATTGCAGAAGGCCGGTTTAGTCAAGCTATGGACGTACATTTAAGTAAAAACCATACCCACACCCCCCAAAAAACACACACTCACTCACATTACCACACCCACCCATCTAGGACATGTGAGGCAAAGTGGTATCGATGCGTTTGTTCTACCCTTTCCACTGGCCTTGGGCACACTCTGACCCAAGCTGTTCCACAGACTATATCTCTGAACCAGTCAAGAAAATTCACCTCTTTGGGCCTCAGTTTCCAGCTCTGTAAAATGAGGGAGGTCAACTAGATGACCTCAGAGGGCCCTTCCAGCTCTGAATCTACAAGCCAATGAATGTGGTTCATTTAACTCTAGGGGAGAGGACAAATGACCTTCTTGTAGGTCAAGGCTGGGTCTTGGCTTCCCCTGGTTGTCTTTCTCTGGGGTTCAGTGACAATTCTGGGGTTTGGTGCCAGGCTTTGTTTATCACTCTTTCCCCCAGGACCAGAATCTGAATCAAAATCATCTCATAGAACTTAGAGCCTGAAAGGACACTAGAGATCACAGATGCTAACCTCCTCATCTTATAGAAGGAGAAACCAAGGCCTAGAGAGAAGCATGGTATAGCAGAAAGATTGGGATCAGAGGACCCCAAATCTCAGCTCTGCCACAAACTACCTGTGTGACTCGGGGCAAGTGACTTTCCATCTCTGGGCCTCAGTTTCCTTCTCTGTAGAATGAGTGGGTAGGACTAAATCATCCGAGTTCTCTTTTAGCTCTAAATCTTACAACAAAATCCAGACATTGGGCCAGAAGACTGATTGAGGCCCCCTTTCCAGCTCCAAATCTCCAATGTTATCATGGAAGGGGGCTCCAGAGTCTGCCATGAAAAAACGAGGCCCTCGGTATCCACAAGGTTGGGAACCCCTGGGCCACGGCTTGTTGGCATCTGCCCGAAAACTCCTCTGACTTAAGCACCATGGCTCAGATAAGGGCGCCAGGCTGAGTTCCAAGTCTCTGCACTCTTGGGCCTCATCAGCACTAGCACAGGGACAGCAGATGGGAGCATGCCCCTCTCTGGACCCCCAAGCAGAGGAGAACCAGCCTCATGTCCATTAGACTCAGGGAAGGGCCTAGTCACCAGACGACCCCCCAAGAGGTGCCCTCCTCCTGCTCCTAAGAGAACAGGAGCTCTTTCTCGTCATCCTGTTCCAACCTTTATCACAGCCAAGACAGTAAACGATCTTTTGGCCAGCTCTCAGGAAGAGACCTCTGTGAACGTGGGCAGAAACCACTCGGCACTCTTGTCTTCTGCATCCCAGTCCACCTTTCCAAAGAAGCCACCCCACCTTCCCCCTGTCCCCCTTTCCTACCAACCCAGGGGGGTCACCTAACAGGCCTCGCTGCCTCCTGGGAACAAAACCAGGTCCAGGGGAGTTAGGTGGCATCCCTGGGGCTAGGGAGAGGACACAGTGGAATTCAGGCTCTATGGGGAAGCCAGCTTGCGGGTACTTGTCCTAAATTGCTACCCAGCCAAGGTGCTAATTCGGAAAAACAGTAGGTGAGTTCATAACCGAGGCACCCTCTATTGGGTTTCAGTTTTGCCCTGGGAGGACTGTGCTGGGCAGCTCTGGGGACCCAGGGACTGAGGGATTCTGGCTGCAACAGAAATTCATAGAAGACCAGCGCTAGAAAGAAGCCAGAATCCTTGGGTTTCCAAAGCACGTTCTGTGTGCGAGCATCTGGAGCAGAACGAGAACAGTGTGCAGGGCCACATCTATAGGCACACAGCCTTCGTGCCAAGGACTGAGTGGAACCTGTCTTCAATGGCCAGTTTGGCACTTGCTTCAAGCCAGAGGAAGATCAAAGTGGTCTGGTGGGAGCTAGCAGTACAACATGTACGGGTTGTGTATGTGGCCAGGTACCAGGTGCCAGCCATTCCATAGAGGGAAAGGCACTGGGCCCAGGACGTTCCCCAAGACCAGTGGCAGCGGGCATGGGAAGCATGTGTGACTCAGCCGGGGCTAGGGGGAGGGGAAGAGGCAGAAGCCAGAGGTTACAGGGGCCGCTCCAGGCTAGGCCAGGCCCAGTCACATGCCCACTGTACTTTCTTCTGAAGGGCTCGGGGCTCTTTCATGTGTGTTTCCTCATTCCTCCCTCACGCCCATCCCATGAAGAGAAGGCAGGCATAGTCTCCCCATTTAACAGTTAGGGCAACTGAAACCTAGGGAGTACCAAGGACACCAGATTTGGAAGCGCTGGGTTCAAGCCCTCATGCTGTTCCTTGTGTGACTTTGGGCAAAGTCCCTTCTCCTTTGGGCCTAGTTTTGTTCTCTATACAACGAAGGTGCTGGACTAGAGACCCTCTGAGGTGGGTTTCCACCTGTAAAACAGAGTCTGCCCCAGTTATCCAAGTGGTGCCGGTGGTGAACCGGGACTCCAGCTGTGGGCCGTGAGGCCTACATAAACAGACAGAGTTTTGTCATCTCACCTAGGATTCTTGAGAGGCTGGCCCATAAGGGGAGTACAGTAAGACAGCACGCTGCCTTCGAGGCCAAGTGAGAGCCAAGGCAGTGGGGGAATAAGGCTCAGCACATACTTGGGGGCTCACTCTGCCATGCTGAATCCTTGGCTCAGGCACTGGGTAAGCACAGGTGTGCCATGGAGCAGGTGCAGGGCTGGCAGCCAACGTTCCAGACGTTCATACCAGAGGGCCTGAGTCACTCCCCAAGGGGATGAGGGCAGAGTAGAAGAGAGGAGAGAGAGGAGACGAGGAAAAGAAGGCTGGCTCCTCCCACCCCTTCCCTTCCCTCCTGCCACTACCTGTCCTGATACAACTTGATAGGCTCTCTGGCCTGCCCAGGGAGGCTTGGGCGGAAATCAGCTCAAGCACAGGGAAATCCTCCAGTCAGCTTCCTCCTCTCCCAGAGACTCCCAATGCCGGCCTGATCCCAGGAAGTACCAAAAGAACCTGGAGACCAAGTATTGTCATCTTAGGCACTTGGTCACAAACTTCAGGCCATATACTGAACTGAAGTTCAACACAGAGATGGACGGGACCCTGGGAGCTCCTCTAATCCATAATACAGAGGAGGGCCCCAACCTTGCCCCTGGGCTGCCACCACCCAATGGCCTGACTTTGGTCAGAAACATAAACGTCTTTTATAAAGTCAACCTGAGTGGATGCCTGAGCCACCGTCTGGCCACCAGGCATCAGTGAAGTCCCAGGGAAGAGAGGGCGAGAAAACCAGAAGACAGAGGCCAAACGAATGACAGGGAAATCAGATTTCTCCCAAACAGATATCAATGCTCACTAGTTCATCTCTGCTACCAAGGCACGAGCTGGGCCCCAGGTCTGGGATTTAGATCTTGATTGGGCATCAGGGAGAAGGAATCTCACTAATTCAGTACGAATTTCTACTCTTTGGAAATAGCCCAAATGAGAGGAGTGGAGTGGACTGGGGTGGGACGGGGTGGAAGGGTAGGGCACAGCAGAGATTCCTAAGGGCCAGTTTAGGACTTGACTCTCCCCAAACGACTTCACGGAAGTGTGTCCGACCTGGCCAACATTTCTACGGCCTCTTTCTTGTCTTTTTTTTTTTTTAAAGAAAGCAAAGAAGGAGGAAAACAATCAGAGCACAGCCAGAACATCAGATTTCTCACCGCTGTCCCTGTTAACACTCAGCCCACTACATTCTGTGATGTCAGCAACCCCCTCCCCACAAATATGCCAAGCATGTTCTCCCCCCTCACCCCAAGGCCTGGGGTTTCTCGGATCCTTCTCTGATGGAGTCCAGGCCTCTGGGATAATGAGGACCATGTGCAGGGAAAATGGGCTTTGGGGGGACACCCCCCCATGCCTCAGCCTCAGCTGCCTTAGGAAGAGTGAGCAAACTGCTTCTGGCAGATCATTTGTCCTTATCAGGGGGGGGTCAAGCTCCAAGCTCTCAGGGCAGGGGGCTGTGTAAGAATAGCAGCCAAGGAGCTGGGCCAGAAGCTGGCGGGGGGAGCAGGGCGCACAGACGCTCAGTCCCCCTTCCCGGCTCATCCACCTTGACATTGTATGTTATTCTTGACGTCCCTTTGGGGGGATTCCAGGCTTACTACACATGGCAATGTGCATGCTCCCCCGGCAGACAGATATTCCAGCCCTGATAAAAACCAGTTGTGGCGAGGCAGGCCTCAGTTCCTGGCTACCATCAAAAGGTGACACAAGGCAAATCTTACTCCAAAAACTTTTCTTTTGCTCGTCCCCATCACCCTTGGAAAATCTCCCTCCCCCTACACCCTTTCTCTAATCTTTTGGGCAAGGTTGAAAAGCTTTGAAACCTTCATTGGGCACATTCCATTCCTCACCGCCCCAGCAGATGTTTCTTACGGATGTCTCCTGCGGACCGAGATATTCACCTAAAAGGATGAGGCCTCCGAGCCCTTGCTTGGGGGTGGGGGGCAAGAGAGGAGGGTCGGACAATCCTACCTACAGTCACTCATGGCTGCAAACCACTGCGGAGCACTGCACTTTGGGTAGAAGAAAAGAGTGGAGGATCAGAAAAAACCAAGTTCATTAAAAACAGCAATGGTGGGAGACCCTACTACAAGTAGGTGGTGAGGCTGCCTCTGTTCAGGTGGCCTGGGTTAGAATCCCAGCTACCTGTGTGACTGTGGGTGACTCACTTTCCTCTGTCAGCCTCAATTTGCTCCTCTGAGAACCTCTGAGGTCTGGCTCTAAATTTACAGTCCTATTTTTTTTAAAAGCCTTTCACACAACGATCACTAAGTCTGACATGTATCAAGAATCACAGATTCAGAGGCACATGAGGCCTCAGAAGTCATCAAGTCTACCCCCCTTCCTCCCACAGGAGGAAACCGAGGCCCAGAGAGTTAGAAGTCTCAGCATCCCTCTGAATCATTCACATCTTTTTTCATAGAAGGGTAAGCCAGGGCCTCAGAGAGCTTGAGTCGCCCCAGGTTGGACCCTCCAACCCGGCCCAGTCCCCACGTTAATACTTTATGAGCTGATGGCACTATACAACCCACCATCTCAAAGCCAGCAATGTCAAAATAATGGATTTCCAGATCTTTTATTAATAATGACTCCCATTTATAAATATTCCATATATTGTCTTTCTTGACCTTCCTACCAATCCCCAAGAGGTCACTTGAATTCCCATTGCAATTTTCTATTGGGCTACAACCAAATGCCATATTTTATAAGAACTCTAGCTTTGAATAGTGTGAATCTGAAGACATCTGACCATTATTTGCACTAATCAGGACCAAGCTGTCAGGGGCTATTATTATCCCCACTTTCCAGATGAGGACACTGAGACTGAGAAAGGTTGAGTGAGTCGCTCAGGATCACACAGTTATAATAAGTATCTGGGGTCGGACTGGAACGTGGGTCATCATGACCCCAAATCTACTGATCGACTCACTGGGCTACTCGCTGTCTCTAAGTCTGCACTCTGTAAGCTCATCTACTCCAATGACCACGACATCCTAGAGTTAGACATGTAATGGACCTTAAAGAGTAAGATCATTTTCAGAGGGGGGAAACTGAAGCCAAGAGTAACGAAGTCACTTGCCAAAGGTCATCCAGGTGGCAACTGACAGAGCAGGGGCTGGAGCTACAGGCTTCAAATTTCAGAGCTCGAGCCCCTCTCCTGACCCTCAGAGCCCTGGCCGTCCTATTCCAGCAGAAGCAATCCCAGAATTCACTGCTATAGGGATCTTATTGGGCCAAACCTAGCAGAAGTGGGTGCTGGCCTGTCAGGAATTCCTGGAAGGCTTGGCTACACAGCCTATAAAGCCAGGAGCTTAGCCCTGGATGGGACAGGTCACTCACTCACCTGGCTGAAGATGGAAAACTCCATCATTCACTGGAAGCTCCTCCCATTCATCCTCCTTTTGACCAATCCCAGGTAGCCCAGTCACAGCAACTTTACCTGTCACAGATCAGGTATGTTCCAATCCATGAGGCAGGCCTCCCTGCCAGCTGCCCTCTGCCCCAACCTCCCAAGCAGACAACCACAGCCCAGGCTCTCTGCCAGAATCCCAGAAAAAAGTTCATTCCTGAAAAGCAGCAAAGAGCGGCAATGGCTAGCTGGCCCTGACCTCCCCTCTCAGAGATGTCCCCGATGGAAGGCTCTCTGTACCTGCAGAGCTTTCCCAAGTGTTTTTCCCGTTCTTTGTCTCCTTCCTGTAGCTAAATCTCATTTAGACAGGTCCCATTATTCTCAAGGTCATTAAAGAAAGTGATTTGTGTTTTCCCCTCTCTCCTCCTCCTGGGCCTCCCTCATTCCCGAAGCATTCCTGGCACACCCAGGCTGAGGTTGTCTTTACAGGGGTGTCATGACACCCTGCCCTAAGCAGCACTGCCAGATGATTTAGGAGCAAACCACAAACCTTGCCTTTCCCTGAGGGGCAACTAGAAATGATGGCCTGGCGCATAGGTAAGCATCCTCAGAGGCAGAGAAACCAGCGGAGCCAACTCACTGAAGATCCAAGGCTCTCTCAGCACTCCGGCAACAAACGCCGCACACAATCCCACACAGCATGCACAAAGCCAACTTCACCGAGGCCTCCAGGACCTGATACTGAAAGGCAATGAACGCACTGGTGTTCAAGGCAATGTCATTAGCACCTATCTCCCTCATGCTTTACCTTTGCACCTAAATGGCCACCCAGGAAAGCCCAGGAGGCCCAGGCAGAAGCCCAGCTGGCCAAAGGCACTTTCTGGAGGTGTACTGCGCACCCCCATGGAGTCAGAGTCTAAACTCCAAGGGGCCTCAGAAACCACCTAGTATAGTTCAACCCAGAGCTGAAGAAGCCCCTTCATGAAAGGCCAGACAAATGGGCAGCTGCCTCTCCTGGAGGAACCCCAGAGAGGAGAAAGTAAACTATGGCCTCAGGCAGCCCAGTTGGGCTAGCCCTCATTGTTAGGAAGGTCTTCCTGACAGCAAGCCTAAATTTGTTTGTCTATCTCTGTCTCTTGCTTTCTCTGTCTCTGTCTCTCTCTTTCCTTCTCTGTCTCTTTCTCTCTCTCTCACTCTTTCCTTCTTTCTCTTTCTGTCTCTCTTTTTCTCTTTCTTTCTGTCTCTTTCTTTCTCTTTCCTTCTCTGTCTCTGTCTCTTTCCTTCTCTGTCTCTTTCTTTCTCTGTCTCTCTCTGTCTCTTTCTGTCTCTTTCTTTCGCTCTTTTTCCTTCTCTGTCTCTTTCTTTCTCTGTTTCTGTCTCTTTCCTTCTGTCTTTCTCTGTCTCTTTTTCTTTCTCTCTCTGTCTCAATCTCTTTCTTTCTTTCTGTCTGTTTCTTTCTCTCTTTCCTTCTCTGTCTGTCTCTTTCTCTTTCTGTCTGTCTCTTTTTCTCTTTCTTTCTCTCTTTCCTTCTCTGTCTGTCTCTCTTTCCTTCTCTGTCTCTTTCTCTGTCTCTTTCTTTCTCTCTTTTTCCTTCTGTCTCTTTCTTTCCTTCTCTTTCTCTGTCTTTTTCTCTTTCTGTCTCTGTTTCTTTCTCTGTCTCTCTCTTTCTCTGTCTCTTTCTTTCTCTCTTTTTCCTTCTCTGTCTCTTTCTTTCTCTGTCTCTGTCTCTCTTTCCTTCTCTGTCTTTCTGTCTCTTTTTCTCTTTCTCTGTCTCTTTCTTTCTGTCTCTGTTTCTTTCTCTCTGTCTCTCTTTCTCTGTCTGTCTCTTTCTTTCTCTTTCTCTCTCTGTCTCTATCTCTTTCTTTCTTTCTTTCCTTCTGTCTCTTTCTGTTTCTTTCTCTCTGTCTCTCTCTTTCTTTGTCTCTTTCTTTCTCTGTCTGTCTCTTTCTTTCCCTTTCTCCCTCTGTCTCTCCGTCCCTCCCCCCACTCTCCACCCCCAGCTGCTGGTGCCTTTCTCTCTAAGGTTACTTTGTATCTGTCTCCTTGGAACAGATCTCTAGATGGACTCGTCCCCTCCATTCCAGCATGAGCTCCCAGAGGGCAGGGACTGCTTTGTGCTTTCTCTGTATCTCTAGCATTTAACAAATGCTCGCTGATTCATGGCAACCTTCCCCTTCCTCTCACAGTTCTTCCCTCTGGGGTCAAACAGACCAAACCTAATTCTTCTCCGAGACAGCCAAGGAGAAAGACAGTGGAGCATTTCCTCTGTGGCCCTGTCCTTTCTTTTCTCCCCTCCCCACCCCATCTTCTTTTCCAGGCTCTGTAGCCCCATCTGTTCCTTCCAGCAAGCCTCATACTGCAAAAGCAGGAACTTAAGGCCGACATGGTAAGAGTGGGGAGGAGCACGACTGAACTTGAGATGCTCTGAGGTCACCTATCCCAACTCCTTTTTACAGAGGAAGAAACTGAGGCACTGAGAGGGGAAGGGATTTGCCCAAGGTCCCATAGAGCATCTGTGGCAGAAATGGGCCTTCCTATTACGTGACATATTGCCTAATGAGTTGTCCCTCTGTGGTTCAGTTTCTGTCTCAATGGGCATGAAAACCCCGTTCTAGCCTAGGCTCACTCTCTGCAAAATCTTGGGAAAGAATGGCAGTTCAGAAGTGGGGGAGTTGCTGTGAGCCATTTGCTGCCATACCAGGTGCTACAACTCCAAAGCTCTGGCCTCCTGAAGGAATACACCAGTCCTGCCAGGCGCCCCCACCCCCTACCCTGCTTCTCCCAGTTCTCAATCACCCAACCTATGGAGTCTATTTTGTTCCCAGAAAAGGCCAGGGAGCCTTCATAGCTTCCCCTCACAGGGAACCCCTGGAGCAAAGGTCATTTGTCCTTGACTTGGGAGTGGCAGGCCTGCCTCAGGATCTTGCTGGGTCACCCAGACCAGAGCCCTTAGGCCAGGTATCACAAAAAAGGCTGCTAAGCCCTAGAAAGCTAACTTTGCCAAGTGGGCCCCCAATACCAGGTGCCTCTCCAAGGCCCACAATAGGTGTGGCCCTGAAAAGGCGGCACTGCTGCTGCTGCTTAATTGAATTGGTGTAAAGCAAGGCTCTTTCAAAGGGAGCTGGCTATTTTAGACAAAGCCCCAGGGCATTCTTCCACAAAGCTAGGGGCCCCTCAGTGCTGATTTGGGGCATCTCAAGGGCCCCTCTATACAAAGGCCAGCTCCACTAGTGAACTAATGGCCTTCACTTTAGCCCGTCTTCAGCATTCATCTTCACCAAAACATAAGGAGGGGGAGGGAAGCAGATAACACTAGATCCCCAAAGAGAGATGGCTCCCCTCCCCTCTCAGGGTATGAGGGAATCAATAGGAATGGGTGGGGGAGGGGACTTCTTCAAGGCCTCAATAGTAGGGATGGAAAGTTTACATTGTCTTGTTTGACCCTTAGGGCAGCCCAGGGAGATAGGTGCTATTGTGATCTCCATTTTACAGATGAAGAAACTGAAGTTGAGTTAAATGTCTGAGGTAGGATTCAAACCCAGAGCATCTAGCTTCTCTAGCCATTGACCCTGTGGCCACCCTATTTGGCTTTTATAATAAGAACTAAACCCTCTACCTACAGAAGCACTGGGAAGTTTGTCAAATGCTTTTCCCCCGGTCTCTCTCACTTGGGCATCATGATGACCTTGGGGGAGAAATGTGTACCCTTGAGTAGAGAATGAAGCCCTTGATTTTGGAGAAAGGGACATGCCAGGAGACATTCAGAAAGCAAAAGGAATGGAGCCAAAGGTGAAACATACACATACACATACATAGACATAGACACACACACACACACACACACACACACGTTAGAAGGGGAAGGACCCCCCATTCCAAACAGGCAGGAACTCACTGTAACTTAGCAAGTCACTTGTTTGGCGGCGGCGGAGGGGGGGGGGGGGGGAGTGGGGAATACCCAGCCCAGCAACCTCAGCACATTTGCCCAGTCACCATCCTAAAAGACCTCCCCCCCATCACTCCAAAGAGTTTCAGCTGGGCTTGATGGGTGCAAAGGATGCTTTCTTCAGCAGCCAGCCCCCAAGGAGGCCTGTTCTCATGCATTCCAAAGGCTCAGTCGCCATGGAGGAGGGTACCTGGCTGCAGGCATTTCTCAAACGGGGCATTTTCTCTACTCCTTCTCAAGATCGGCCCCCCACCCTTTACCCTCAACACCCCCCCAGCCATAGAACTGCAGAACTTGGGGGGAAATTGAAGAGTCCCAGGGGGAGGGAAGAGTGTGAGAAACTCATCTTGCATCCAAATTGGGGTGGGGCAGGGGGGAATGCCTTAAGAAGCTGGATCAAAGGAGGAATGACAGAAAGAAGGGCTGACTAATTACAAAGCCACCCTTTTCAAGGATGAGCAGGCCCTTCAAAAGGGAGCACAGAAGCTGATGGAGCCACTCTAATTCAAGGGGTGGTGGGGATCAAGAGGTCATGGAGTCCATGCCCCTGTCTTCAGGCCCAGCTAGGGCTCATCTCATTCTAGAAAAAAGAATTTTCTAACTCACTTTAAAAACTCCCCAACCTCGGAGCTAGCATTCCCCTCCCCCAAACTTTGAACTAGGTTTTGTTTCAAAAACTTCAACTTTGCAGAATAGAAAAACAAGATGTCAGATGTTGAAATAGTTACTTGCCTAGTGCCACAGACCTGGGCGGTACCATGTAGTTACAACGCTCAAAGACACAAGGAACATTTTCAACCCGTTAGGTGGAATGTCTTCAAAAGATTTAAGGAAATGCGGGTAGGAAAAAAGACCATCTTGCCTAATGGATGGAGGGATTTCCTTAGAGTGCTTAAGTCCTGGGTTCTAGTCCTGACACTGACACATTCAGGTCACTTATTTTTCCAACACCCCAGGCAATACGCTGAGTTTCTACACCAGTCTCCATACTAAAGGACACTTCCCCCCCCCCCCCCCACAAAGACAAAAACCTGCAAGAAGGGCTGGAATCAGTGCCTTCCAGTGGATTGAATCAGAGCTCTTTTAAGGGGGTGTGTGTGTGTGTGTGTGTGTGTGTGTGTGTGCTCACACAAGCTCTCGAGTGCCCGAGCTCAGTGGGAGAGCCAGCCCCCAAGCATGCTTGTTCGAGCAATATTGGGTATCCACTGCAAAGAAGTTACTTCAAATCAGTCATACTTGGATCATGTAACCAAGAACTTAGCTATTCGTCGGAGTGTGACCTTGGCCACGTCTTCCCTCTCTGTGGGCCTCAGTGTTCTCTGTAAAATGAGGAAGTCAGACTAAATGTCCTCTTATGGTTCCTTCCACCCCCAATCTAGGAGCCTTCCCATCGATCCTGCAGCTTCTCCAAAGAAAGAGAACTGTGGAAAGTAGAGGTACAGAAAATGGTAGTTAAGGTCAGCCAGCAGGCATCGAACACAAGGCTCTCCATTTGGGCTGAAATAGGAGTTAGCAGCTGGAAATGGAAGGAGCCTTTCCATAGAAGCACCTGGCCATTAATGAGCCCCAGGCTGCCTATAAAATGCACAATTTGGTCAGCCCAACTCTTCTCTTCCAGCTGATCTGAAATGCTATACCCTTTAAAATTGGCACCCAATAACCTCCCCTTTCCCCTGCCTGCTTGTGTGCCAGCCCTTCCCTTCCCCCTCCCCTCCCTCAAAGAAAAACTCTAAAAGGC